AGCAGGTCAAGGCTGCTTCCTATAGGGGCTGCCCACAGCCCCGCGTGGCTGGGGCGAGAATCTTCCGGAGCGTGGGTGGGAGGAGCTGCCTTTAGAGGGCCGGGGACGACTTCTGCTAAGACGTTTGGGGTTCATGGTAAGTTTAAAGGGAGGCTGGGGGGGGTTCTAAGCAGGGGGGTGGCGAGAGGACCGCGACCGCTCTGAAGCGGGTAACGAGGGGCCCGTGGAACTACAAGGCTGATTTTGTATAGGCGCCGGTATCAGTCTTTTTTTTTTTCTTTTGTTATTATAAATAAGAGCTTGGGGGGGGATTGTTAGTTCTCTAAGGTTTGCTCCTTGAAGTAGGATTTCTGGGTGGGCCAAGTGGTCAGGCCTTCGGTCTATCACAGGAGCTTTGAGGCGCCGCCTAGATAAGCCCCTAGGAAGTTTCCCGGCGGGTCCTGGGCGCTTAAAGCCGCAGCCGAACATCCTGGCAGCTTCCCAGCAGCCTTTAAAACGCCTCTGACTATTGGCCAACAACTTATCGCGCTAAAGAAACAGAGGACGCCATTGGCTGGCGCTACTCTCGCGGACTCTACTGTGTTAGGCGCTCGGTTGCCATCGCGACGGGGAAGGTTGGGCGCGGCCAGACCCAGCCCAGGGGTACCCGAGGAGGTAGGAGGCAGTTCCTGTCGGGACAGCGGTCCCGGGGTCATGGGAGGACGACCCGGCGCACCCTGTGGGACACCCACTGAGACTCCGTCCTGCTGGGTGCTGGGTACTACTAGGTGCTGCCCTGAGCGCGGGAAGAAGCCGCCGTTGGAGGCGCCCCTCCCTGGAATTGTGCCCTCAGAGGCCCCCCTGAAACACGGTGACTATATCCACGGCCTGCCTCCCCCACGGAGCCTCTCCCAGGGGCGCGGGCACCCGACTCCCCTGCCTCAGCCCCGAGAGCGTGCAAACGCCCAACCCTAGCTCCCCGGGCGTCCCTCTGCCAGCAGCCTTCCTGCTCCCGCCTCAGGTTAGCCGCCTGTGAAACGAAAGGGTGAGATTGGAACCTAGTGGGCATAGCCGGCTGGGAAAGTTTCTGACATGTTTTTTTTCAGTTTATGAAAAATATCAAATGGGCTATTTACCTGAGACTGCTTTGAAAAATGTAAAAAATAGGATGTACTGTAGCATTATAACTGAATGGATAAAAAATCTTAAAACAGTCAAAACCACTCATGCAAACCCCATAAACTAAGAGTATACATGGTTTATTATATACTGATAAACCCTATACAGTAACGTATGTATAAATGCATAAAATATGTGATGATAACTATAACATAAATGATAAAGCTTTTTTTAAAAAAACATAGAATGAAATGAAACATAGGCAGAATGAAAACATGCCTATAGCTGTAGTCATGCGAGGTAACTCTTTATAGAATATAGTTCCTGAAGGAAAGAGTTGTATTATGAGTACATCTATATACATTATTGCAAAAATGTGAATGAGCATTCACTCATTCATTCCACAAATATTTATTGAGTAACTACTATGTGCCAGGAAACAGACTGGGGATTCCATGATGAACATTCTATTGGGGGAGATCATAAAGAAATACACATAAAATATGCTGTAGGGTAGTGAAAAATGTTATGAGAAAATCAAGGCAGGGTCCCGGGCTAAAAAAAAGATGGAGTGGGGCTTTTTGAGTGGTCAAGGAAGTCACCCTTAAGGTTTGAGCAGAAACCCAGATGAATCCGGTGACAGGGCCAGAAGATGATGCCTACTGTAGTGAGGGGGACAATCCCATGCAGTAAGGAGGTATTGCAGAAGATGAAGAGGCCCCTTGTGGAGAAGAGGAGTCATCTGTAGGTGGTGGGGTATGACAGCTGCCTCCAAATACTCGAAGAATAGTTGCATAGAACAGTGGCTTTCAAATTTTTTGACCAGGGTCAGAAATGCAGCACACATATGTATATAACAAACAAGCTTAACAAAAGACTACAGGCTGTGGTGTGCATTTTATTTTATTTTATTATTTATTTTATATTTTATTATTTTAAATCCTCACCTGAGGATACTTTTTTCCCCCATTGCTTTTTAGAGAGATAGAGATAGAGATAGAGAGAGAGAGAGAGAGAGAGAGGCAAAGGGAGGGAGAGAGGGATCAGCTTTGATACAGACAGGGACTTTCTACCAGTGAGAACTACCTAACCATGAACTGCCTCAAGAATTTTCAAACTGAGTTCTAGGGAACCCTAGCATTCTGTGAAAATTCAAGACAGCCTCAAATATTAACAAAATGAAAAGACAAGCCTCAGACTGGAAGAGAATATTTCCAAAACATATATATGATAAAGGGCTTGTATCCAGAATATATTAAAAACTTTAACAACTCCATGATAAGGTTTCTCAATTGTTTAAAAAAGGGCAGAAGATTTGAACAGAAAGATACTTTACCAAAGAAGGTAAACAAATTGCAAATAATCACGTGAAAATGTACAAATGAAAATGACAATGAGATATCACCATAGAACCACTAGAATGACTAAAATTAATCAGATTTACCAGACAAGTGTTAGTGAGGATGTGTAGCAACTGGAACAAACTACTGATACATGTGACAACACAGGAGAATCTCAAAAGCATTGCACGAAGTGAAAAAAGACAGGTACAAAACAGTACATACTGTATAATTACATATATATGACATTCTAGAAAAGGCAACTATTGTGACAGAAAGAGCGGCGGTTGACAGATGCCAGGGTTGGGAGGATGTTGACTGCAAAGAAATACAGAAAATGTTTTGGGCTGTTGGATATATTTATATCTTTATTGCAGTGGCATTCAACACAATTGTAAACATTTGCCAAAATTTAGAATTGTACATGTAGAACTGCTGAATAACGTATCGTATGTGAGTTTTCTCAGTGAAGATACATTTATAAAATTCAAGCCTTTGACAGCTCTGGAAGCAACATCAACTATGAACACTCACAAAGTTCCTGCTACAGGCAGTGAGAGCAACGTGCTTGTGACTTGAGGTCCTAGATTCTGGTAAATCTCAGCCTCTACCCACAGGATTTCTTAGTCTATCTTGCAGAGAGAACAGAATTCAATCAACATAATTTTAAAAAATGTGAAATGATCCCTACAAATGCTGTATTTTGCTGTTTCAGGTGCTTGGAAGAACATGTAGTAGAGTTTTTCATCAAACAAATGAAACACATCACAGAACTTTACTAAGATGGACAACTCTGCACGAAAAGACCAACAGGCTCGCAAAAAGTATTCCAGAATTGTCAACCAAGTACAGAGAGGTCTAGTGAATTTAATAACAGATGTCTTTGTGGGGAGGACTTAAATTTTATATTTATGTCTAAATGTATCCATTTATATTCACAATTCTATATTTTATATTTACCCACACATTTACTATTTCCAGAGCTCTCTATTCCTTCATGTAGATACAGATTTCCAACTGGTGTCATTTATCTTCTGCCTCAAGGACGTCCTTTCACATTTCTTATCGTTCCAGTTTGCTGGTGATCAGCTCTTTCAGCTTTCGTGTATATTTAGAAGTTTTTGCTTTTGTTTTTGAAAGGTATTTTACTGGGTACAGGATTCTAAGGTGACAGTTGTTTTTTTCTTCTCTTACCTTAAACATATTATTTCCAATGGTAGTCTGCTGTCTCTGTTTGTTCCCTTTGTATATAACATGTCTTTTTGTGTGTGTGTGTGTGTGTGTGTCTGCCTGATTTTAAGATTTTTCTCTTTATCACTTTTAAAAATTGGATTATTTTATGTGCCACGGATATGGTTTCATTCTTGTTTCATGTGCTTGAAGTTCATTTACTTTCTTGGATCTGGGGCCTATAGTTTTTAACCAATTTGAAAATTTTTAATTTTTAATTTTTCCCCTTTCCCCACATCTCTTCTTTGGAGAGTCTAATTGTGTGTATATTAGCCTCCTGGAAGTTGTCACGTAGCTCACTGATGCTCTATATTTTTTAATCCTTTCTCTCTGTGTTTTATTTTGGATAGTTTCTATTTCTATATCTTCAAGTTTACTAGTCTTCACCCCCTCCCCCCACCAACCCTGCAGTGTCTAGGCTACTGTTAGTCTCATCTGGTGTATTTTTAAATCTCAGATGTCTCAGTTTTCATCTATAGAAGTTTGATTTGGATCATTTTTATATATTCCATGCCCCTACTTAATATATGTTAAGCTTTTCTCTAGCTTCTTGAACTTATCAAATACGGTTATTATAACGATTATAATACTCTTGTCATTCTCATCTGTATCCCTTGAGTTGGTTTTGGTTATTTCTCCTTGTTATAAATTGTCTCTTCTTTGCATGCCCATGACGTTTCCGTTGGATGCCAGGTATTTGAACTGGGTCTCTATTTTTTTGTAGTCCTAGCAGTTCTTGTGCTTTGTTCTGAGGTGTCCTTAAGTTACTTGGAAACAGTTTGATCTTTTGAAGTCTCACTTTTGAGCGTTTTTTCTTTGGAACCAGAGCAGCATTTACCCTAAGGATAATTTCACCCTGTTTCTGAGGCAAAACCCTTCTGCATACACTACTCTAGGTCCTATGAATTATGAGGTTTTCCATTCTGACTTGTGGGAACAAGAACTATTGCTGGCCCAGTATGCACTTCAGGTATTATCCACCCTAATTCTTTCAGTTGATTCTCTCCCCAGCCTTGGGTAGTTTTCTCCTATGTATGTGATGACCAATACTCAGGACACAGCTCAAGGGGGAACCATGCACATCCCCGGAGCTCTCTCTCTGTGTCACTCTTTTCTGGTTCTGCGTCCCGTGAAGTCTAGCCATCTGACCTTCCTGGGCCCTCAGATCCATTTCCTCAACTCAGGAAGACCGCCAGGCTCTACCTGTGTTCCTTCTTCCTGTGCTGTGGCCTGGAAACTTCTCCAGTAAGCCGTAAGCTAGGGGCAGTCTTATTGCAAATCCTAAATGTTTCCCATCTCCAGGGATCCCTAGCCTTTGTTGCTTGATGTCCAGTGTCTTGAACATCATTGTTTCATATTTTTTGTCCATTGTTAACTTTTTTTTTTTTTTTTTTTCA